TACAATATTCTACCTCGTTTATTATTTATATGGCAGCCCCAGGCATGATGTCGCGCTTTCAGATCTCCAACTAGTATCACTTTATGTCCTATTCCTAGTAGCTTGTCAAGATCTTTGGTCGTAAAGTCTACAATTGGGCTGTTATAGGCTGCTATGATATACGTATTTGTTGCTAATTTTATACATATACACTCCCGGGATATATTTCTACTCAATTGCACTTCCTTATAAGGTATATTATTTCTTACGAGTATTGCAACTCCTCCCGAATGGCAGTCTTTGTCTCTTCTAAGGCACGTATAGTTTTGGACGAGAATCGGTTCTTGTTTGTATTAGTTTATTTGTCACCCTTGATTACAATATGATTAGTTTAGTTTACAATTTATTCATTCTTATATCTACTTCATAAACTAAAAGTTAACATTTTTTTTTTGGTTTATTCCTAATGGCCTTTTTTAGGCTCTCTAGGATTTAAGTCCGTTTTCGGTCAAACACGGCTGACCCCTTTTTTTAAGTTGTTGTGTTAGTTACTATATATTTATTTTCGATACGCATCTTTAGGTACACTTTGTCTCTTGTTTTGTTTGTATGGTCGCACGGCGGATAGGTGTGCAGCCTTGTTTCTATACACTTAATTCTTCGATCTTACTGGCTATTTGTACTTAATGTAACATTTTTAGGTGAGCCACCAGTACTTTTTTGTATTGGTTCTACTTTTGTCTAATCTATCTCTATTTGGCAAAGCCTTGTCATATTTCCAAATTGTATTCCCTGGTATTAGACTATCTAAATGTGGTTCGTATTTGATTGCGCGTGCACCTGCTCTTCTGTTTGCATGATAGATTATCGGGATATTATTTTTGTCTTGTATAGAACCTAATTCATCTAGGTAGGGAAAGGGCTTCGGGAGGAATGAAGCTCGTTTCCATCGAGTATTTATAGTATTGTGGGTTTGGGTAGAACGGTCCAAATATTAGGTCATTAGTTTTTATTCTCGCTGCGTTTGAGAAGTGATTTCTAATCAAACCCAGTATGTGAGAGTCGATTCTTTGTATTTTTGCCATATTGTAGAATTTGTTGTTATTTATATATTTTTTGCTGTTTGCGTTGTAAGTTTTGTGTTTTCCTATGCAGGCTCAGAATAACCACTTTAGTTTTATCCATGACGCTTTTGCTTTCGTTAATTGTATCGAGTGATGTTTTGAATATTTTAGCCCGTTATCTATATTTATTCCTAAATATTTAACTATATTTTTATGTGGAATGCGGGTGTCGCTGTTCTCTGTTTCTTTGATTTGAAATGTTTTCCAGTTTTTTCTAATGTTCTTTGACGCGTTTGCTAGTTTTGGCCTAAATAGGATAGTTTCGCATTTGGTTGGATTGATTTTCATCTTCCACGAGTGGCAATAGAATTGAACTTTCCCGAGCAAATTTTGTAATTTTTCCTGTATCTTTTTATATATTTGAACCTGCGATGTATATGATAAGATCGTCCGCAAACGCTATGGCTGATGTGTCCGGTTCTGTTGTGCCGCAAGAGCTGGGACGGTGTACGGTCGCCGATTTCCTCCTGCTCGAAAAGTCTTGGCATCTTCTTGTTTTCCGAGGCGGACATGCGTCGTATGAGCGCCCGTTTGAGCGTCTCATATTTGTCGGTTTCCGGGGGCGCCGTGAAGATGTCCCATACCTCCTCTGCGTATTTTGCATCGAGTTGCGCCAGCACGTGGCAAAATTTGGTGCTATCTGCCGTGATGCCGCTTATCGTGAATTGCGCCTCAATTTGGTTGAACCAGATCTCTGGCCGGTCCGGCCAGAACGGTGGTATGCGAATACCTACGCGGCAAACTTCCGGCGTCGCGGCACTCTCGCGGTTCTCTTCGGTATTCATTTTATTATTTCTATATAACTGTCCATGTCTAGTCGCACTGCACTCACTACCGCACAGCACTAATGATCACGTCGGGGTCACCAGTTTGGCGGCAGTTTCTAATTGAAATGTGGTGTTCGGTATTGTAATCGTTAGGAGTAGTGCGTTATGGTCACTGTCGTATGGTAGTATGGGAACTTGGTCGTTATTATTGGTTGTTTGGACTTTTAGCCTAAGGTCAATTGTGCCTAAGTCTAAATATGAGTTTCCATTCGGATATGATGGTAATTCCGAACTGTATAGTTTAGCTCTAACGTCTATTGCGTTTTCGTTAAGCCAGGTGTTTAAATAACTCCCTCTGGGGTTCTCTGTCTCGTTGTACCAATTTGGATGTTTAGCATTAAAATCGCCATTCAGTATGAAATTCTTTCTGGTTTCCACATCTGGCGTAAGCCGAGATTACGTATAAATTTTTATTTCCGTTTAATTTTATAGAAATTGTTACTTCTAAATTTTTTGCTGCGATGGATTGCGGCGTAATTATCCGTTTGTACTTTATTGGTTTTTTAATTACTATTGCTGTGCCTCCACCTTGATTCATCGGATGGTTAAGTGTTTGCCTATCGTCTAATGGTCTGTCGTGTCTTTCTATATTGTAGTTGTCAAAGTGTAGTTTGATTTTTTCGTTTGTTCTGGTTTCACTGATGAGCACCATATCTGGATTTTCGGTTTCTAGTAGCTTTGTTAAGTTTGCTCTCCTTTGGGTAGAGACAATTGAGTTAGCATTTATTGTTATTATTTTTAGTTTTTTTTAGTACGAGTACTTGATTTATCTGATTGTTGTTGTTGTTAGTCATTGCGTGTTTCGGGGGCTAGGATAGTAGAGTCCATTAGGAATTTTATGGATTCTGAATTTCTGTTGATTTGGTTCATCATTTGTTCCATTTGCGCCAAGAGTGATTCCTGCATTACTTTTAATTGCGTGACTATTGCTTTCATTTCTGTATTATTTGAGTTGCTTTCGTTGTTTACTTCCGTGTGTGATGCTCGTGATGGTTGCCTTATATTATTATCAGTTTTGTTATTATTATCGTTATTTCTTTTTAACACCTCTGAAAAGCGTATGTTAGGTTTTATGTAATTGTTTAAATGTCTTTGTTTTAATTCTGCAGCTTGCTTTTTTAGCTTAATTTTATTTTGTAGTTTTTCCTTGAATTCCTTATATTTTGGGCATCCCCTGTAAGAGGCTGGATGACCGTAGTTTTTGCAGACAATGCAATAGAGGTGTTCCTTATTAAGGTTTCCCTCAGCCTGCGTTAATTTACAGCTACCCGAGGCGTGCGGCTCCGCACACTTCACGCAACGGTACTCTAGGTTGCAGTTGGAGGCCACGTGACCTAATCTTTGGCAGCGTTTGCACTGTATGGATTCGGGTTTTCGTAATTTTACCCACCGTACTATTTGCTGGGTTACTTTTTTTATTTCGTGCAATTTGCCCGCCGAGCTATTTGCTGTTATTTGGAATAACAACAGTGGCAAAGTTCTTTTCTGCTTTTCTGACATTTTTGTTTTGAATCTCGTTATATTTAAGAAAGTTAATTTATCGTTGTTGAGGTTTTGTAATTCTACCATTACTTCTTCTGGCTCATAGCCGCTATGAATGCCTTTTAAGATGAATGTTTGTGCTTTCTCTGTTTTGGATGTTAGCTTACCTTCGTTATGTTTTTTCACGAAAAAGTTTTTTATTTTTAATACACTGTTCATGAGCCTGATCGCGTCCTTGGGGTCCTGTCCCATTATTATTAGGGGGACCGGAAAGTAATGTCGTTTTCTTAAGTTAAATTCACACGACTACATTTTTAACAAGTTTTTATTTCTAATCAACAATATATTCACCTTCGTTATCAACAACCTTTTGCCATCTAGTATACAAATTTTCAATGCCGGAGCGGTAAAAAAATCAATCGGTTTTTCTGTAAAATATGTCGAGATAGCATTTTGGACATCATCAAAATTTTCTAATTGTTTGCCACTAAGACAATGTTGCAGTGATCGGAATAAATGGTAATCCGAGGGTGCAATATCGGGCGAGTATGGTGGGTGAGGCAGTACCTCCCACCCCAATTCGTTAATTTTGTCTAAGGACCGTTTTGCACAGTGCGGTCTTGCATTGTCATGTTG